CTCATTGTCGTATTTGCTTCCTCAGAGCACCGTAGAGCATAGTTTACGCTTGCCTATAGTCTTTACACTTTCTCTCCACAATGTGTGCTCCATTATAGCATATTCGCCTCGAGGTTTTTTTCCCGTGCACATAACTTCGATAGAGGTGTGGTCTTCGCGACCGACGCCCTTGGAGCAGTACTCAGTGAGAAGGCTAATACACTCGCTGATTACATGGTCTCAGCGACTCGCCGAGTTACGATATTCCCCCTAAAGATATGTGATCGAGTCGTTCGGCAAGGAGAAGACGCTGACCGCGCTCGGCCTACCATCTGCACGAGTTTGAAACTTCGCGTTGACTGACACGGTACCCGCTGTAAGTTTACGATGATATCCGACTTGTCTACATGCGAAGAGTCATTTCGGTCCCAGTTGTTCTCATCATGTCGTGAATATGGTTTAAATTATCAAAGGTTACTCGCCTTACTGGGGCAGGGCTCTTACATGCCTATGCGTAAACTCTCGAGATTCGAGCAAAGAAATACCTATCTTCTTCGGGAGGTTAATAACAACCTCAGTGCATATAACCCACGGACCTTCCTTGACAACCCCCCCATATTACTCATCCGTACCGAGCATACATAACCATGATACTATACTAGCCTTGGTACTTATGAGCTTCGCTAAAAGTCCGAGAGGTCCGATAGACAATAGCGTAATGTAAACGTACACCATGGGAGACTAATTAAGCCGTAATCCTTCAGACCGATAGTGATAGCCGTTCTTTCTTTAACTTACATGGCACTTTTTTGGTAGCCAAGATTACTCTCAATCACGGATTGGCTAAAATTCTACCATGTGTGTGGACTACATCACTCTGATGCTTTGAATATGACAACGAGAACGCACGATAGGGGTAGTGCGGGGCAAATTTTGCGCTTAGTGGGAGACAGCACGCTAATTCAAGTATCTTTATAGTGTTACTTAGATCTACCAATCTGTTCATGTGATTGAAGCTTTTAAATGCACTACGGGTTTTTAGATAGAGGCAGCAGTTGCCGGAGTGAGGCGTGCGAAGACAGGAGTCAGATCTTCTATACCTCTTATACCTGTTGCCAAGAAGCAGTTATCACAAGAAAATGGACTAGCTGACTGTACAGACGATGCAGACACGCAGGAACGAGCTGATGAGGTCTCAACTGACGTACTTTACTACGATGCGCTGTTGTTTTAATTTGTTCGTTCTCACTCGCTTTTTGTATAAGGGTCAATTATTGTCGTTAATGGATCATAAACGAATAACAAGACTACAAGCTGGTCTGGATATTCTCAGCAATGCCTATGATGCATCGGATAAAACAGAGGCGCTCTCGGATCATAATTTGGTCTACGTGGTGGCTGGGGCTGCAATGAAAAAGTCGATGCAAGATTGTACAGCTTCTAGTCGGAATTGCTGTATATGGGGGGCACATGCGGGGAAATATCATGTCTTGCTTGATTGGATGATGAGTCGTGAGCTCGTAATGAACCAAAAATCATTGGTCAGCTGTGATTATGTGCATCAGCTACTGCTAGAATGGATTCAGCCGACGGCAGAAAAGCAGGATCAATTAGCCTCATGTTTGACGCTTTTTGAATTGCTTCGACGACGTCGTCTTAGGCTCATGTGTCAAGTAGAACGAAATGAGGTTTTGCCTTTATCGGATATTCGAGTCGATGCGTATGTCGATGCACTGCATAGAATTGTACATCGAGGCACTTCTCTAAGTGCCGGCTCGCATCGTATCAAACTTTCAAAGCTTGGGTTGATCGCTTTGGAAACACTTGGGATGCTTTGTGGAGACGTCGCAATGCAGCATCTAATTTATTGTGAATCAGCAAAGGTGCACACTTTCGTGGAATACAAATTGATGCACAAAATAGTGAAAAGCATGCAATTTTCTCTTGACATACTTCGACGGTGGCATTCGCACTCCATACGTCGACAATTTCTTAGATTTGCACTTCAACATCTGCAATCATATGTGCTGACATGTGACATTGTATTTTCAAGCGTGGAGTGGGCTGATGGTGACTGCAAAATTATAAATAATCGAGTAAATCTGGATGTGCTATGCTGGCATTGGGTGACGACTGTGCCAATTTTGTGCACGCGTACTCACGCGATTTCTGCTAAAACAAAGCATCGATCGTTTAAAGTTCTAACCCAAATTCTCAAGTTGTGTAATTTAAGCTTTATTAAATCCAAAGATAAATCTGACCAGAACGACGTCAGTAGTAATCCTGAGATCGTATATTCACAATCACGCCATGTGTGCATTCTTCTGGATTCAATGGGTGGTCTACGAGGATGTCTCCAGGCATTCGAGAATATTTCTCAAGAAGCTAAAGCAGATTTTGTGTGCTTTTTTGTGCAAATTTTGGCAACAGCAACGAAAGACGGCAACATCGCTACAACCCAATTAAGTGCGAACGTTCTCCGAGTTTTGTTATTGCCCGATGATGTACTAAAAATTTTTAGCTCAAAAGACGATGAGCAAGGCTTCCTGTCGCAATTAATTCGCTTAAATGGTGATTCGCTTCTGGCACGCGGAGAATCCTGTAGTGAGCTGGAAGCTCAAACAGAACTCGAATTGTTCATAAGTGATTTCATTATATCTCGAGAACTGTTCATAACTGAATTGCAATGGGCGTTAGATAAAATTCAAACTTCAAGCCTTACGGTGAGTCAAACCGCTGAAGAGAAGTAAAATTTATCATAAAGCATTGTTGTCGATTCGCTTCTGATATATAGAGTACAATTTCGCTCGTGCGTACTTTTTTATATCAATTGGACGGATTGGCAGCTCAAATACCGCTGTTTCGATATTGGCGGTAAGTTCTGTAAGGAAATATCTGTAGTGACACTTACTAAAATCTTCAATGTATGTTGTTCTGTACAGGAAACTGCTTACCCAAGGCATTTTGAAACTTATCACCCATCAGAAACATAAAATTTACCGGCTGGTTAGTTTGACGCGTCTGTTTGTCAATTTGATAGTAAACTAACGTCATTTCATTCAGGCGACTTCGAGCTTGCCGACCTTAGACGCTGTACACTGTATAGCTGGCTTAATAGCAATCGGCGTTTACGAAGCTGATAATCGCGTTATATCATCCTCGCTAGAATTCCTATTGAAAATTTCGACGCGGTCTTCTCTTGAAACGACTGCGACTTGGTTCATCGATGCGTGTCAGTATAGCAACATGGAAGTCCATTTAGGAATGTATAAGGCTCTACCATCGCCTCATGATTGGAGTGAATTCGCTGTTCACCTGTTTGAGCGTTATAATAACAAGACTGGTGCATGCGACGAACAGAACACAGTTCAACACAAGCTACTTTCATCTTGCCTTCGCTCACCTGGGTACGTTATAACATTGCTGCCTTCATATATTTATCGATCTCAATTCGCTTTGAGATCGCTATTGAGCAGATGGAGTCACCATGTCAATTTAGCACATGCTCGACATGAAATATTACGTGTCTTGGTGCGCAAATTTCTTGGTTCGCCTCGTGATCACGTTATTTTGCGAATGCTGCGTGAAGTGATTGTATGTAGCTGGGTAAGTCACGAAGAATTCGACGTGATGGCGACACAAATTTGCTCTCATGTGGCGGTAAGTTCCGGTCAATAAGGAATTTATGGATTATTGGTTAGAACTGCATATAACACATGAGTTGTTTTAGAATGCAACGCGCTTGACCGAAGAGCTTCTAAACAGCGATTCATCTTCAGCCACGAACGCAATTAAAGATCTTCTATTTGCTCGGTTAGCTCCACTGCTGGTGTTACGAATGTTTCCTCAGACCTACTATGAAGCTAATGGCCTGGAAGAAATATCGGTATATTCAATGCAGGCGTTGTGGCCCTGTTCAGTGTAATGACTTGTATCATAAACGTGCTATTATGTAGTGTGGACGGGAGGATTTGGATCATCTCAACAAATACGTCGAACATCATCTACAACTCGATGGCAGAAAATTAGAGGCAATGTCGGGCAACACAACTAAAGTTTTGTTCCATATTTTAGCTCGCTCCATTGTAGATCCGCTGGAATTTAAAGAGGTCAAAATGCTCGCTATTGAGTGTTTGTCCACGCTCCCATTTTCACTTGTGCTGCCATTCGTGCTGTCGTATGTGGTTGCTTTCTTGCGAGAAATAATGCCGTATTACGTTCAAGATAACTCGCTTATTGTCCAAGAAGACAGTGTGCCGATGTCTTGTGGATTGGTCACGGCCAAGTTGATGGTCTATTATCTTAATCGGGTGTTTTCAGGAGGCGAAGTCATTTACGCAAATTGTGAGGCTACTTTAAGAGCAATTGCTTTGTTCATACAAATATTGGCGATCCCATTCGATGATTTGCCTCTTACCGATCTCAAACGAGGGAGCATTGAGTGCATGGCATTGATCCTTTCCAGCCTTGCAGCCAGAAGCAATGGGCCACATGATAGCGATGCGTGTTCAGGTTGTGCCTCCGCATTATTAAATCTATTTGTAATGTGGATATTTGGACACCAGAGCAGAGAAGAAGGCTTGAAAATTAGTGCTGCCAATGCAATCAACTTACGAGTCATAAATCTGCTTGGTAAAATGTGGAGTGACGCTCGGCGGGATCAATTGCCAATACAAGCTCGTGTTTGGTGTTGCGATGTCTTAACTAGGTAGGCTTTCAATAAATTTTAGACCCGTAAAGATTCCTAATATTTGAGTGTCGCAGTGCAATATCACGATCAGAGCACGGTGTTCTTGCAAGCTGGAAAAAACATGGATTAATGACTCGAATTGTCTTGGCTACACAAAAATGCCCTGAAGAAATTGCTGCTGGTGGCTTCCAGGTAAATGATTAAAAATGAGATGACATTACATAGCTAACCGTTTTATCCACATCTTTGCTTTGGTTGTCCAGATAATCTTGTCATTTATGCACAAGGCTAGCAATCTATTCTCGACTCAGGACGTCGGCGACATCTCGTTTGCTCTGAACTGTTTGGAAGCCGCTGCAGTTTGCCTGCAATCGACTCGAAACGAAATACTTGCCAGAAATGGTCTTAAAGTCGTTGAAGTCCTGGGAAAGTTTCGAGTTTTAGCTGAGGCTTTGCAGCCAAGAAATATACAGCTGGTTGTCGACAGGTTTGATAGGATAGTTAGCTCACGCAATTATTTCGTATGATTGATATGTTTCTGATCGTTGGAATCAGGTCTCTGGTCAAGGTGCGGGACCAGCGGATATCATTTGATGTAACAATGCTTGCTCAATCATTACTTGAAGCAAATGCTATCTTGCAATGAGATGGCACTAGAAATCTGGAGGCAATTCGGATAACGTTTGAGACGGTAATCCAGCATAAGAATGGTCGAGCATAAATTCTTTGTTCAGCAATCAGGGGGCGGCATTTCAGAGTAAGTATCATGGCACTTCTCTTAACGGATTATATGCGACTGTCATTTCGCGGAACACTACTTTCGCGTTGAGCATAAACAAAAGCTGTGATTCAGTTGTATTTAATTCAGTAGCGGGTGATATCGTTTTCGGCTGTCCAAAATCACATAACACTTTTATAAAACTGTGAGAACCTCAGACATCCTATCGTCCTCATTAATTTCGGTACCAGATCTTAGCCCCTGAATAGCCCAACCTCTGCGTGCTATATAATCAGCTTTTTGAACAACCTCGTCGCACTTACTAGTAGTCGAAAAAAGATTTTGCTATCTGCGAGGTTAGCAAAATCTTTTTTAAATGAAGAGAAGAGATTATCAGACACGCATGGTAAGCTAAGTCTATCGGTGATCTCGAAGGGATCAGGAAACTTGAAGGACCAAGGGTCGGGAACAGTGACCGTTCTCTGATGTTGCTGGCGAGACACTTTAATAGCACCAACCGGGCATCGGAGACAGCATAAATGGCACACCCCGTGAAACCGCTAATGCTGAGCACTCAACACTTTAAGGATAGGGACGAGAACATCTATCTCGTTGTAAAGAATGCTGGCATAATAGTTTGCGGCCTCTAAGCTAGGAGGCTGCGCGGGAGAATGAGTTCTCAATCGTCACTCGTGGCACAAGACTTTAACTCTGCATCCACGCAACTATTAGTACTTCCTCGAATGAGGTACGGCAAGTAGATGCCGCACTTGTTCGGAATGCTTCCTTGAAAGCGTTGACTATCACCGCCTCCGGAAGAGGGTCTGCCGTCATCGCGGCGACAAGAGTTCGCAGTCCCTTTGGTGGAAAATTTGAATATGGTGCAAAACTGATCTCCTGATTACGCATCGCGAAAACTTTGGGCATGTATCGCGTCCATGTCGGGGATGCATCTTCTGCCGCGATTGAGCAACCATGAGAGGGAAGCTTTTTGAGAGATTGACATCAAATATGCTGAGGAAAAGGGCAGAGATGTTTCGGCTGCTGAGCAGCTACTGGTATTTGCAGATCTTACACATGTGGAGTTTGAGACATCTGCGTCTTGCGTCTCCTCTTCTCTCATGGCAGAAAGGTACTGTCGACCAAGATCTGACACAGGGTCGTCCGACGAACATCTAGCGCAAAAACGGCGGGTTTTAGTGGGTGCCCTACGCCAAGTGGATAAGAGCTGTTGTTTGTATCTCGTGAAGTTCAGGGTCGATTGGGCCCAGACTTAAACGAAGTGACACACTTTAAGAAAGGCGTGGCTCACAGCTGGTTATTGACATCCACGTTTTTGACATTTTGAAATCCTGGATGGTTTGAATAGATTCAATAGCGCTCTGAGATTACGTTCAATAACAGTTGCAGTACGTGGAGGCATTGAAAGTAACAAATCCGGACACAGTATTTGTCAGTCGTGGGACGGGAACATCAGTAGATATGTCGAAGGTTTTGCTAATTCTTCCGGTTAGATTTGAGTAGTTTGACATGGTCTAGAAATACTCTTATTTTGTGTATAATTATGGAGTGTTACGAGCTATGAACCGTCTGGAAGTTGAAATAGAAGGTATATCTCACTACTTTTCTGCTGATAATTGGTGAAGCATTACATCACGCTTGCATGGAAATAGCAGAAGCGCTTTTGATACATGCACAAAACTGCATGGCATTCGTGCAGGACATAAGGTATGCAAGACATCCGTGCAGGACGTTAGGTATGATTAGGTGTCTTGAGCATATCTTTGACTCTCAGAGTTTTGGATAGCAAACACAAACACGCAGATTTTGTGTTCGTCCACTCATTTTGATAGAGGAACCGAGAGCTGCTGAAGGTAACTGAGACCGTTTGTTTGCTCCGCTGTGTCGAAAGTACATATATGTAGAACGACTTGTGTTGAGTCTAATACTAAAAATGTAAGCTTTATATCTCTCATTCGGAACTGTCTCTTCACGGTCTTTTCTTGACGGAGCCTTCGTAGATACCGATGTTTTTTTCGATACTTATGATCGATAGTTTTGAATAATTACACCAACGGTATAGTGAATTTCGTACTATTGTATCGTATCGTTTGAGTACATTTGTGCCAAATGTGTAAGGGCCAAACCCCCAAATTTTTTGTATTTGCTCCACCACACCCTCTCCCACTAGGATGTGAACAACATTGTATATTTGTCATAAGGCCGCGCAATAGCGACCGGTCCACGAGCAACTACTGCACCTAAACTTTGGCTTCATTCTTAGCACTAAACCATGCCTAATTTTCTGAGCACCTATGTACCGGAATTTGCCAGATATTACGGCTCAACGAGCGTTTACTAAACCTGTGGTCTATGTCACCAACACGCTTGGATTTTATATGGTGAAAAATGCCGAGGCGTTCACCGACAAAACGGTCCTGATATTTCATTTCGTCTCGATCAACACCTCAGCGCGAGGTGATACACGGTCTTGCTATTTTTCAATAGAAGGCACTCACTGCCCTCAGCTTTTCCGCTGCAATATTCACAAATCCCGAGCCCTTTTAAACAGGAAAAGGATCAACTGATGATATACAGCTCATTTACAAACGAGCTGGATCTGGCTCAAGAATCCCTGCTTGCTCTACTGCAGTCGCAAAAGCTACTTCAAATCTTGTCCAATTCATTACGCTGGCACTTACCCGAATCATCACGCCGTGACTTCAGTTTTAGGCCAATAATTTGCTCGCCCACTGGCCAGGAGATTCTATCAGCCTATATGTATGCGTCTCCCACTCACACCATGAGCAAAACGAGAGCGAGAAAGTCACTCCGCGAGCACTTTATTAGCCCATAAAAATAAAACTCGAGTGAACCGTATGCACTTTGCGAACCAGCTGCAGAAAAAAACTGATCTCTCCCAGGTGGATGGATATCTATCTATGCACTTGAAGTTGGAGAAAGTGCGGCAGAGTTTCACACTCAATATGCATTCTGGGCAAGGGAACACGCCACCGTTATCCAAACTGACTTTACAAGCTGGCCTAAGCAAGGAAAATGTCCGCTTTAGCGTCGACTAAAATTTGATTTTTCTACGTACAAAGCACGATACAAACGTCGAGCTGGCAATCCATCACCATCACTTCTTGCGCTTGAAGCCCCCGATCGCCTCCAAGATCAGCTGTAACAGCCCACTAGCGGGAAGCGTGCTCCAACGAACGACCGTACCTATCCTCACAATGAGGCGAAAGCAAAGCCTGCATCAAATCATAAGCAACCAAGGCACCAGGCAAATCTTAACTCCGACAAGGCTTCCGACTGAAAGCAGCATTTCACTTCTCAACAGTGCTGATGTACCCACCGGCCCATCAAACGCCCCGCGTCGAATTGGGCTTCCTCTTGATCATTGATAAGTTCCGGCGGAGGTCGGCCTCTCTCTCGAGCTTTATCTGCTATCGCTATCAACCGTCTTCAGAAATCACTGCGAGCGTCGAAGCCTGAGATGAACCGGATCTCGGGTTTGCCTTCTGAGCTTTGCCATCGCACTTCCCGGCTTGAAGCTCATACAGCGACTCAAAACCGTGTTGATGTACTGGTGCAAAACACTTCCAGCCGTACGATGTGATACGGACGATACGAGCCTACGACAGAGCCCCTAGCTCGTAAAAGCGGATCGTGGTATCGTTTCAGGAAAAAAGAGAATGGATTTAAATTCTCATTGGATGCTCAGTGTATGTCCCAATCTCTTCACCGCTTTGACTGTGATCGGTCTGGCGGAGAGCGGTCGTTTTTCGTTCTTTTAGGCTGCAGACTCTATATGTAAAGGTAGGTTAATTTTATTGAATTTTTTCGCCACGCCATATTCGTATGTTAACCATGTGCCTTTGGCTTTGGTTGCATTCTAGCTTCCCACCATTGCGTTGCGCACCTTTCGCTTGACGCTCAATATCATTGACACTAAAGCACTGATGTTTCTGGTACAAAGTGTTATATGCTAATTCCAGCAAGTCGAATGTGATCAAAAGTGCCCCCACTAAGACCGAATCGATTTTATGCCGCTGTAGAAGGCACTCGGAATTTTGCCATACCTTTCATGTAAAATACGATAAAATCTGTAGACACATATACTGCGCTATTTAATTTAAGATTAATGCGTGAGAAGAGTTATGTAATGCACTGAAGTCTCTCCTTGCATGTGCTTCGAGAGATATTCTACACGACGCAATTTAAGCAAGCTGTCTAAAACATTTGCATGTGGATGCTCATTAGGGTCTTTCTAAACCAAAGCATGCCTCGGGAAGAAAAAAGGGTGCTGACAAGCGATTGTGCTTTTTGGTGAGCAACATTAAAGCTTCTGAAAATATTCAGCTGAGCATCACACCTTGCGTCCTACTTGTACGCTGATCGTATCGCCTCTTTGACTGCCGAAATCACTACGACATGCCACAATTTATAGTTTGGGCGACATGAAAGTGCATTCAGTACAACATTAAGACGACCCACTTGTACTAAACCTCACGTGTATACTCGGCAAAGAAGGATATTTATTTTTCATGTTCTGTGAGGGACGTTGTGACGACTTCGCTGAGCGCAGAGATACATTATTTTTACGATTACAAATGGCTTATGGCCAAGCAGCACCCTGAACTTGACGGGGGTATATTTCATTGCAAGTAGCTCTGTGTCGGGCACCTACCAGCATTTTTGGTAGATATGGAAATCGATACTACCATGTCGAGAATGTGGTGGCGGAGAGGAACATACGCCGTCGAAAGGAGCTCTTGATGAAATGGTTGGCGACCGAAGAATACATAGAAGCTTCTTAGTTGTACGAATGTCGCAGATCGTTCGCAAGTAATTCCTTGTCACGGACTGGGTAGTTCCTCTTCGCAGCCTTAAGTTGGCGAGTATCTAACGCGATCACCCGA